TAAAGACAGTATAACGATGATATTTATAAACTTGAAAGAAGGGAAAAGGATAAAAAAAAGGAAGGAAAAAATAAAAAAAAAATTTCTCCCACTATGGAAGTCCGTATATGTTGCACTATAAGAAATATATTTACTCTTAAGCAATTTAATTAGTATACTCACATAGGCAGATTTCTTTTTGAACATAACTAACACTTGATAATGCAACATACTTGTGTTGCTCTAATACACAGAGGGGGAAAGGGGGAGAGGTAGAGAAAAGAAAAGATAAGGGGAGTGAAAGGAAATAATTATTTACCAATTTTCTTACAAGTTGAATATTTTATTTATAACAAGTTTAGTATTTCATAGATTTATAATATATGCACTACGCTCTAGCTTAAGATAGAGTAATGAAGATGTACATAAATTTAATTGATTTTTTTTTTTCTCTCTCCCCCTCTCTTCCTTCTATAAGGGAGATTTATTATATGAAAGAGGGAGGTCATTTTTGTAGTGGTAGGTTTTTCAACTCAGGCATGGTTTGGGGTTTCCACTCTTGTGTAGTTTTGCTACTCTATTTTTCATTGCACCATTATGGTTGTCAATGATTATTGTAGTATTAGGTTTTTTCCTAATAGTTGGATGAATGATGATGTTGGTCTTATTTATAGCCCAATGATAGGAAGTATATGTTTTTGTTTTTTTTCTCAGGAAGTCAAAAAAGATTTTTTTTTTGAGGTATTTTTATGTGGAAGTTTTTATCCTTGAATGTCCAGGGGCTTAATACTAATAAAAAAAGGTATAGATTGTATGATTCCCTCATAAAACAAAATATACAGGTTGCTTTCTTACAAGAAACGCATTGGCTTAAAGACACCAAACAAACATCGGGTGGAGATAAATTTGTAACAGCAATTCATGCCTCATTAAATAAAAAAAGGGGTGTGGCAATCATATTCAGTAAGGATATTAATGTAGATATTCTACATACTGAACTTGATCCAGAAGCGAGGTTTATTATTTTGGTTTGTAAGATCGAAGATAAAATTTATACATTGGTCAATGTGTATCTTCCCAATGTTGATCCAATGACTAAATTTTCTTTGATAATGGATAAAGTTGACAAAATCAATAAGGGATATTTGATTATCGCTGGTGATTTTAATTGTGTTAGTGATCCTCTTTTGGATAGAACTACTGTATCTCCCTTGCGTAATAATAATACAGGACCTACTAAGCAGGCCAAAAAATTAAATAATATCTGCAGGCAATATAATTTATATGATATCTGGAGATTACTTCACCCCCTTAAAAAAGATTTTTCTCATTTATCTGGTGTCTATGGATTGACTTCTGTTTAACAAATGCTATTACAATTCCGCTCTTCAACCATATTGATCTTAAAGAAAACACATGGTCAGATCATAGTTTTGTTTTATTTGATCTTGGTAATTCTCCTCCTCCTTCTCATAATACCTGAAGATTGAATGATGCCATTTTAAAGGACTCTAAGAATAGGGAGGATCTGACCAAATTATTAGAATATTTTTGGGCAGAAAATGATCCGCTAGACACCTCTCCTTTAATAAATTGGTGTTCTCATAAATCTGTAATGAGGGGCTATATAATTAAAATAGATCATCTTCTTAAGAAAAATAATGGCACAAAATTGCCTGATTTATATATTGAATTTTATTCATGTTCTAAAAAGAATAAAATACAATCTTCCCCTGAGTTGAGAACTCATTTAAAAGATCTACAACTCCAAATTAATTTAAAGGAGGAGGAGAAAAT